GGGCGAGATCTCCAAGGAACAGGAGGAGCAAGGCCCTGGAAACAGGAGGAAAGGCCACCTCAGTCCTACAGCGGCAAAGGGCCTGTCGGAACGGAACCGTGTGCGTGTCCTAGACTTTGTGGAAGGCCAGACGTAAGGACAGTGAATGAGGCTATCTGGGCAGCAAAGCTGGCTTCCTGAGGCTGGAAAATGCAAGAAGAACGAGGTGGTTAAAGAGGAAGCAAAATTTTAAAAAAATCTTCAGCCTGGAATGTAAAGATGAAAAAGCACGTCTGGGAGACAGCGCTCAGGGTGTGGCCAGGCGCCTGTTTTCGGGAGAGAATGTTATGGATGGAAGGTTCTATTCTTCAAGACAAAGGGAGAACCACCCAGAGGCCTTCAGGAGATGGAGGAGGCCAGCCAGGACCTGCAGGGCTATATTTCCAGAATGACACCAGCAGGACCTCAGCATGCTGCCCTGCACCGCCTCAGGCCTCTGCTCCCCAAATTCTAGCACAGAACCCTTCGCTGCCCTGCTGTGGCTCCAGTGGGTCCGGGTGGTACGGGCCATAAGTTTGGCAGCGTCTGCTGCAGGTTAATTCTGCAGGCGTGCAGCACGCCAAAGCTGAGGCCCCCGGTGGTCTGCACCTAGATTTCAAAGGGTGCTGCAGACAGCCTGGAAGCCCAGTCACACGAGTGGAGCCACCCTCAAGAAACCCCCATCAGGGGAATGCCTCCTGGGGCTATGGGGGTGGGGCAGCCTCTGAGACCCCAGAACTGTAGGACAACCAGTGTGCAACCCCAGCCTGGGGAGGCTGCAGGCAGGAGGCTCCAACCTGGGACGGCTGCTGTGGGGTCTGAGCCCAGCAATGCCATCCGGGCAGGGATGTTTGCAGCCTTGAGATCCCAACCCCTGCCCCAGCATGCCCGGGAATGGGGGACTCAGAGCCAGAGGAGACTGTTCAGACAGAATGTTGGGCTGGCTGCAGTAGCACATGCACATAATCCCAGCGGCTCTGGAGGCTGAGGCAGGAGGATGCAGAGTTCAAAACCAGCCTCAGCAAAAGTGAGGCGCTCAGCAACTCAGTGAGACAGGAAAATGCAAAATAGGGCTGGGGATGTGGCTCAGTGGTCTAGTGTCCCAGAGTTCAATCCCTGGTACCCCTCCCCGCAAAAAAAAAAAAAAAAGACTTATTGTCAGGCTGGGGTTGTGGTTCAGTGATGGAGCACTCACCTAGCATGTGTGAGGCCCTGGGTTCCATCCTGAGCACCACATAAAAATAAATAAGTAAAATAAAGGCCTATGAGGGAGACAGCCCGGTCCTTGCCCTGGTGAGGGTACAGAGGCTGACCCTGCCTCTGTGTACAGCCACATGGGCAGCCATCTATAACTTAAAAAAAAAAAAGACTTAATGTCAGTTCCAATGTTGCCTTTGGACTCACGTGAGACCAGTCCCCTCTTCCGTCTTGCCTGTCTCTCCCCTTTGGCCTGGAAACCTCTCCTACACCTGACCCGTGGGGGCATTTTGGAAGGAGATGACCTGTGGATTCCCAGGCCCCAGCGGAAGGAGATTTGCCTCAAAGTGAATTGTGCTTTCAGCCTCATGGGCACCTGACTTAGACGGGACTCTGGACTTGGCACTTTGGAGTTGGTGCTGGAACAAGCTCAGACTTCAGGTCTGATGGGATGGAACGGGCATACTCTGTATGTGAGAGCACGTGAACTGTGGGAATCGGGGACTGAAACTCAAGCCCCAGGGCAACAGTGCTGAGAGCTGGGACCTTAAGAGGTGAGCTGGCCTCGAGGGCCGAGCTCTCTGCGTGGGCTCCTGATATTGCAGGAGTGGGTCACTAATGCCAGATGCCAGTTCCTTGATCTTTGGCCTCCCGCCTCCAGAACTGTTAAGAAATCGATTTATATCCTTTATGTACTACCTAGTTTCTGGTAATCTGTTAAAACGCCACTAAATGCACTAAGAAAACCCCCTCACGGCCCTGAGAGGCGGGTTCTACTATTGTTCTCTCTTCACATAAGGGGAAACTGAGGCAGGGTGCTTACACACAGCTGGGAAGTTCTGAACAGCTACTCATACTGCCTTGGGGATTCGGGCACTTGAAAGGACATCTCACTGGGAAGCGGGGCCCCATGACACCCCAGGCCTAGGAGGGAGACAGCCCGGTCCCTGCCCTGGCGAGGGTAGAGAGGCTGACGCTGCCTCTGTGTCCAGCCTGACACTGTCCCTTCCCTTCCCCCCAGCCGTATGGGCAGGCATCAGGCCTGAGACGGGGTAGGACCCACTGACTCCCCAAGCAGCAATGGTGGTGGGCCTTGAGGGGCCGTCCTGAGACTGTGCAAAACCAGAGCTGGGCCCCAGCAGGCCAGGTCAGAATCCTGCCCACCAACTGTGTTGCTGTGTGATCTTGGGCAGGTCATTCCACCCTCCTGACTCTGTATGCTCCACTGCAGATGAAGAGAACAGAAGGACCACTTACCGTGCCTGACGTACAATGTCTTAGTCACTAATCATTTTTATCATCCTAGAGTATCTAGGCCACCCCTGGGTGCCGCTTCCTCCTGGCAGGTATGTGGGGGTAAGTGGGGCTGGGGAGACCCAGAGAGGCATGTATGCAGAACAGGCTGGGCCTAGTTCCGCTGTGGAACTGCCTTGGATGTCCATGTGGGAGAGGGCAGAGGGCAGTGGAGTCTCTCTCTGGGCTGAGCTAACTGAGGTGAAAACCAACAAAAACAAAGAAGCATTTGAAGCAGACACATTCTGAGCTTTCAAGGCTAAAAATGTAGGGTGCTGGCCGAACACTCACTCTATTGCTCCATTCCCATTTTAGAATTTAGGATAATGCAATGGAATATTACTCAGCCACAAATAAGAATGAAATGATGGCATTTGCTGGAGACTATCATGCTGAGTGATTAGGCCAATCCCCAAAAAACGAAGGCCAAATGTTCTCTTTGATATGTAGATAATAATTCGCAATGCAGGGAAGAATAGAAGTTCACTGGATTAGACAAAGGGGAATGAAGGGAAGGGAGGGGGTTGGGAATGGGAAAGACAGTAGAATGAGTCGGACATAACTCCCCTGTGTTCATATATGAATACACGACAAGGGTAACTCCACGTCATATACCACCACAAGAATGGGATCTGAATTAGAATAATTGTATTCATGTATGCATAATATGTCAAAATACAATCTGTCAGGTGTATCAAAAAGAATAAATATAAACAGAGGTGGGGGTTGGCTCTGGCTCGGGTCAGCATCCCAGGTCCACAAAGGAAACCCAGCCAGTAACCCCAGGCAGCAGTGACGGGGGCAGTGAGTGCTCAGGAAACCCACTCACCCAGCCCAGGCCCTCCCAGAACTCCTGGGCTGGGCCAGGTGGACCCAGCCGCGCTTCCAGAGCATCCCTCACACTTCTGGTCCCTCAGACAGACGTCCACCCCTCGATACCCACAAGTGGCCTCACCTAAGGCCACGCATCCCATTAAAGCTGACCACAGCCCACTCCTGGCCTCGACTGCAGAGGGAGCCCACAGGCCCTGAGGTGACCTGAGCTCCTTCCTGGTGCTGCCCTCGGACAGACGTCGATGTGGTCATGGCTCCCACCCGGGTCCCCGGCCCCCACCACACACGAGCTCTGACCCAGCACACAGGCCGCTTCTGTTCCAGAGGCTTCTCGGGGCTGTCCCACAAGTCGTAACTGACCCAACGCGCTCGACACAGTATCCAGGATGCGCTGGCCACCACGGCCACCACGGTCAGCCCCGCAGACCTGACCTGCCCTTCCTCTCTCCACCCTTGAATGCTGCGTCCATCTGTCTGTGGGATCTCCCCATGCCCACTCCCCCTCCTGCCTGCCTCGAGCCCCCCCATGTGTGCCACCCCTGGGACATGCGCCCACAGCTTGTCCTCACTGAACTAAGTGGGGCAGGGCCCACCCAGCCGCCCAAGGAACGGCTGCCCAGGCCGGTTCCTGTGTGGTGGCTCTGGGCACGGGGCGCTGGAAGGGCCCCCGAGTGTAGAAGGAAGACAAGTAGGTTGTGTCCCAGGAGGGAGAGATGTACCCCAGAGAGGGACCGCAGGAGACCAGGCCAAGGGGTCCCCCTCAGAGTTCTGCTGGCTGTGGCCTCCTGGTACCTCCACTGACCTAAGGTAGCCTCCAGCTCCCGCCCTCACACCGGGGCTCCTGGTGGCCCGGTCAGAGGACGTGGAGGCCTCTAACCGTGTCCCTCCCCTCAGGACGTCCAACCTGCAGCACAGGGGAGGGGGTGAGACCCAGGCTAAACCCTACCTGACCACCAGGTGTGTCCCCACCTGCAGCCTCAGTTTCCCCACCTCTACGAAGGGGACACACTACCCTGATGGGGACCCCTGGACTGGCTTCTCTGCCCTAGAATGACAGAAAGGCTGCAGCTGACTCCAGCTACCCAGGGTTGCCCGTGTCCCTCTGTCCCCAGGGTCCTCCAGACTCCTCCCCAGGCTCTGAAGCTAAGGAACTGATAGGTGCTTTACAATTATTGAGCACCACTGTGTACTTGGTCTTCTACAGACAGCACAATGCCCAGGAGGATGCACCATGAAGAGCCCCCCCCTTGACAGGTGACAAAATTTGAGGGGAAAGGTCACACAGACAGGGGTGAAGCCAAAGCTGACTCAGGATCTCAGGCACCAAATGCTGATTCATCTCAGAGTCCAAGAGCCTCAAGGCCATGGCCATCCATCCCCACAAAAATCATGGCCTCAAAGGACGCCCTGGCCTGCCCCCCACAGGGAGGCCCAGCTCGCCTGGACATGGCTGTGCGCTCTCCTTGATGAGGGGCCTCACTTCTGGCTGGTACCTGGGCCATGGACCCACAAGCAGCTGTTTCAAACAGCCCCCCAACACCCCAAACCCTGACCCTCTCTGACCAGGGGCCATCTTCCTCCCCTCCCACCAGAGCTGACCCCCAAACCTCACCCCTGCTTCTCCACGACTCAGTGGCCTCTTCTCCATGGCTACTCACCTCCTCCAGCAGCTCAGGGCTCAGGGGCTCTTCAGCGGGACACCTGCAGGGAGAGAGCGGGGAGAAGGTGAGAGGACAGACTGGGGTCTGCTGACCATCCTGTCACCAATCCCATTCAGTCTGGGCTCCCTGGGATAGGTGGGGCAGGAGACCTGGGCCCTGCCCCCCGAGGGCCCCTGGGCAGCCCAAAGATGCCGTACTCATGCCAGAGTCAGGATGGCACTTACTATGGAGTCAGCACAAGGACCACAGGTGGCTGGGACCTGAGAGGCTCCCTGCAGCAGCCCAGGGTCCCACATGGGCCTTGAGGGACACACCAATCAGACCAGGAACCAGCATACCCCACCCCCAGGCCTGCCCACAGCAAAAACACAGTTCCCTGGCCCCTGGGCCCAAGGGCTGGACGTCAAATCCTCCCTCCTGGGACCAATGTGGCTCCTGGTCCCCAGGAGCCCAAAAGAGCCAGCAGAGGAAGCCCCCAGCCCCTCTGCTCCACCTCTGCCTGGCCACTTGCCCTGGTCCAGTCTCAGCTCCATCACAGGCTCACCCTCACTGTGCCTTGATTTCCCCATCTTTACAGGCAGGTGCATCAGAGCGGGCGGGAGGCCCGGACAAACACAGCTTGCCCCGCAAGCCAGGGCTTCTGATTGGCAGGTCCAGGGTGGAGCCTGAGAATCTTCACTTCCAGCAAGCTCCCAGGTGACCCTGCTGCCACCAACGAGAATCACACTTTAAGAACCGCTGGCTTTGGCCTGGGATTGTAGCTCAGTGGTAGAGCACTGGACTAGCATGTGTAGGGCCCTGTGTCCCATCCTCAGTACCAAAAAAAAACCCTCTGACCTTGAAGATGTATCCAGCCTACAAAGTGCACAGCCTACTCCCTCAAGGAGTTTGCAGGTAACTGGGGACAAACACACACACACACCAAGGTTCGTGCGCACACATCTGACTCAAAGTAGTCACAGCAAGAAACATGGCGTCCAAACAATAAGGAGACCTGTCAGGTGCACGGCAGGTGGGTGCAGTTGGGCGAGGCTTCCAGGAGGTGAAGACTTAAATTACCCCATTTCACATATTACTGACTTAATATGTATGTCCAATTACATGAAACTGTTCTTTCCAAAAAAGAAAAAAAAAATCTTCTGGTACTGGGGATTGAACCCAGGGGCACTTTACCACTGAGCCACATCCCCAGTCCTTTTGATTTTTTATTTGGAGACAGGGTCTTGCTAAATTGCTGAGGCTAGCCTCAAACTTGCAATCCTCCTGCCTCAGCCTCCCAAGTTGCTGGGATTCCAGGAGTACACCACTGTTCCTGGCTAGTGTTCTTTTTTTTGAAAGCTTCAAATACAGAGGTTTGTAGAGTCAACACTGTCCAGGGGCACAGACTGCTTCCCTCTGGTTTGAAACCTCACTGCACATTGGTGTAGAGAAGTACACACACAAAGTGGGTATGGACAGCTTCCATGCTGGTGTGTAACTGAGCTCCTTGCTTAGCAATGATTCCGAGACCTCCCCGTGTCTGTACAGAGCTATAATTGTTGTTTGTACTCACTGAGCACCTACTATGTGTCTGCTACTAGGTTAAGCACTTTATCAATTAACCCATCTGAACATCAGAACAAACCCCTAAGACAGGTAAAGGCCATTTTGAATCTAGTTTTGTAGAAGAGACAATGGACCAGCTGTGGTGTTAGTCAATGGCGGGGCCTGGGCTTGGTCCCAAGCAGTGGAGCTCCAGCGTCTGCTCCCAACAGAGCCACAGGTGAGCCTGCGTGATGCCAGGCTAAACTCCTCTGCGTGGGGGACGGGGGACACCCTCACCTGCTTACCAAGGCCTCCAAGGAGGGGTACTCAGATGTTCCCCATCTTTTATTTTAATCATTGCTGGAAAAATAATCTTGTCACTTGGTGAACAGGTGCAAATATTTCTCTGGGTATGTTCCTAAAGGATAGGGCAAAGAGCTATACATGTAAAATGTTGGTGCTCGCTGCTGAAATGCCTTCCAAAAACATCTGTACTGAGGGGCTATTGTCTGTTTCCCCCTGAGAGCTTCCACGTAGGAACAGTTCCCATTTACTGAGCACCTAGTATGCACTAGATCCAGTAACATCTATGTCATTATCTCCATATTCCAGAAGAGAAAACAGGCTCAGAGAGGTTAAATTACTTGCCAAGGTCACAGTGCATTACAATGTGCTGCAATATCATGAACACAGAAGGAGGAAAAGAAGGAGGGAGGGAGGGAGGGAGGGAGGGAGAGACACTCCTTGACCCCACATGCCCTTCCATTTTTCCATTCCCCTTTAATAGCAAAACTCAAAAACTGCAAGGTGCAGTGACACACACTTGTGATCTCAGTGACATGGGAGGCTGAGGCAGGAGGATGGAAAGTTCAAGGCCAGCCTCAGCAACTTAGGCCCTTGTTCAAAATAAAAAATAAAAAAGGGGGGATGTGGCTCAGTGCTTCAATCCCCCATACTGAAAAGTACCTGTCTCCAGTGTCTAGTCCCTCCCCTCCCTTCCTCCCTCACTGCCTGTCCAGCTGGGCGCCTGTCCTCGCCAGGAGCTCTTATCAAGATCCCCAGAAATCTCGGTTCTGCTCTTCCAATAGTCATTCTCTGTGCCCCGGCTCCCGGAGCTCTCGGCAGCAGCTGGCATGGCTGATGGCCTCCTCCACGGGGGACACTTATCTCTGGACTCGCAGGACTCCTTCTCCTGCTGGTCCTCCCACCCCTTCCTCCCCTCTGACCCAAGCTCCCTCCAAACAGCCGGTGCCCAGGGCTCCCAGGCTCTCCTCTCTTTGCTGTCCACGCAGTCCCTTGGCTGGTCTCAATGGCCCGAGGCTTTAAATCCCAGTTACGTCCCCAGCTCGTGGGCAGCAGCCTGGACTCCCTCCCAAGTGGCAGCTCGGGTTTCCAGAGGCCTATCTGTCACCTCCACTGGCTCCTCTCACTGACCCGTCTGTCACCTCCACTGGCTCCTCTCACTGACCCGTCCGACTCAGCACTCTGTTTTTATTCTCCAAACTACATCTCCCTCTGCGGACTCCCTCCCTCATAGCACACCCAGGCCATCCACCAGGCTGTCAGCCCCAGCCCCAGACGTCCCCAGCTTGGCCCCCCCACCCCCGCACTCGGCCCACACCAGATCATCTGCGCTGATCAGCCCCGCTCCGCCTCACTCAGGGCCCACACTCTCGAGCAGCGAGATGATGGTACAAATCGGGGCCTGTCACTCCCGGCCACCAGCAAGCTCCCTGCAGACCTGCAAGGCCGGCCCCAGCCCCAGAGCGGCTCCCGCACCGGTCACCTCCCGCCCTGGCCAGTCACCTCCCAGCCTGGCCAGCCTCAGGGACTCTGGCCAGGTGGCTCCTGCTGTCAGAATGTTCTGGACCCCTAAGTCAAATGCCCCATGGGCCCCCCATCCCCGCTTTCCACAGTATTCACCCCCCTGACATCATCCTGACTCGTCTGTGCACTCTCGGTCCCTGTCCGTCGCCTCATCTTAACCAGGACCCCATCAGATAAGAGGGCCCGTGTCCATCCTGTCCCCCTCTGGATTGGCCTCTGTGCTGTGTGCAGTGTTGGATGCGCAGTGGATGCTCAGGAAGCATTTGCTGAGTGGATGGATAGATGAATGGACAGACAGATGGATGGACGGGTGGACGGGGCCAGCTCCATCCTGCTCCGAAGCCTGTGCTCCTACCCCCCTGAAGAAAGAAGCTGGCTGCCATGCGGAGCCGAGGAGCTGGAGGGCACAGGCTGGGAGGGACAGGCTGACCGGGTGGCCGCAGCAGTGAGGGCACAGGGACGCCGGTGGGGCCTGAGTCTCCCTGGGGGAGACGCCCCGCGGCCCTCGCCGCCCCCCGGGGTCTGGGGCCCTCACTCCTGCCAACCTGGCCCATTCAAGAGGGAGCCTTGGGGGCAGCTGGCAGCTGAGCACGGCTGGCGGGGGGCCAGGATGGCTGCCAACAGCTGGCGCTGCTGCCAGGCAGCCAAGTAATCGCGTTAGCCAGCGGAAATTGGTCCAGGGAGTTTTCTTCCTTCGCCTCCCATTTTCTCTCTCTTCCCTTCCCCCCTCGGAGCTGCAAGACTCGCAAGATTGATCTTTGCCTGAAACGGAGGAGATAACTCGATATAATGAACTCCACTGTCCCTCTTGCTGTTTGGAGCTTTCTAAAAAATTTAAAAGGGCTGAGGACAGGGGAAAAAAGCTGTACTCAGGGACCTCGGGGCCCTCCTCTTCCCTCGGAAGCCCCCAGCCCTGCGCTAAGCGCCCCTTGCCTCCTTCCCTCGGCTGCTTCCCCCGGGGGGATGCCTTGATGGAACAAAGGCTTTACAGATCCCCAACTCTGGCAGGTTTTAAAAATAACTGTGGTGAGGTCAGGGCTGGGCCCACCAATAGCCCTGCCTCCACTGGTCCCCAGCCCGGTGGCCACCCCCATCCTCCAGAAGCACCAGCCAGCCAGCCTGGGGGTGACAAGGTAGCTCAGTCCACCTGTTCAGGAAGCATTCCCCAAGGGGAACAGCGAGGCCACCCGCCCATGGAGGTGGCGCAGGAGGGCTTCTGTTCCTGCAAACAGCTTGTTCAGGTACAGCTTAATGACGCACCACGGGCGCACAGCTCAGCCCCAGACACAGGCGTGCCCACCTCACTGGGGTCCCTCCAGCCTGGTGTCTGAATGAATTCATGGTCATTTATTGAGCACCTAACTCTGTGCCAGGCACTGAGTTGGGAACCCAGCAACCTAGGGGATCAAAAAACCCTCTGATTCCACCTTAGTGGCTTTAAAGCCTGGTGGCAGAGGCCATCATCAAAGGTCTTCTTTAGGTGGGGGACACATCAGGATGACAGCTTTATAGGATATGCCAGGATGCAGGGTACAGGGAGGTATGTCTGTCAACTCAGCAACTCTAGAGGCTGAGGCAGGAGGATCACAAACTTGAGGCCAGCCTCAGCAATCTAGTTAGGCCCTTTCTCAAAATAAAAATTAAAAAGGGCTTGGGCTATGATCCAGTGTCTCTGGGTTCAATCCCCAG